TGTTTGGAGAGCAAACATGGAGAAAACAGCTCGATGAAATATTATGGCTATATACGGAGATTGGAGAAGATTTAGAAAAATATTAAAGCGTGACTTAGCTTTAGACAGAACGTCTGGTCGGTGGCGTATGATGTTATCTGGTCGGCACTGACGAAGTTGCTCGGCCCTCGAGCTTTCCGGCCTATCGTCGTGGCGACGGTCATCATTGCGACGCGGCGGGTGGTCGGAGTAAGTAGTCCGGGCGACATCATCCTTATATTAGTGGTCGGCAACTCGGGCAGCTCGCGATCGGCAATGGTGTAGGAGCAGTAGGAGCAACCTTTGTCGCTGCCGGAGTACTCGTCGCCGTCGTTGGCTTGTGTGGTGATCATCTAGCTTGGACTTGTACGGAGGATCGCTTGACAGACATATGTCCCTATCTTGATCGGAGTAGATGTCGGGTCTTTGAGGACGTAGATAAGCAAGGGAATCGGTCTATCCATGCTATGCTAGAAACGGTGACATATACATGTATACACACTCCATTGATGCATGGCCCTGTATACCACATATATGTTTCCTGGTTGCATGGGTTTGGTTCGATCGTTGATGTGGCCTTTGATCCTTCTGGTGACGATGCACGTAATGACCAGCACCGCCCGCGATGTCTGATCAAGGGTCGCATGGACCCCATCACGTGGCAGCGGTTCCGTCGCAAGATTCATTGAAGTCGAAGTGCAGGCGCTGCTATACGTCGCGATGCTGATCGTCGAGGTCGCCTGTTGATCCCGCGACAAGTTGCCTCGAGACGCCGCAGTCCCACGACAGGAAGAGCGCCGCTGCCGGATATCGCCGTGGGACGACGCTCGCAGGTCGTCGAAGGTTGTCGCCGTGATCTGACGAATTCCCGAGGACTATGTTGATGATCTTGAGGTCCATCTGGTTTGCCATGGATTAGCGCGCACAGCCTCTACCTGACGTGCCAACTATCGACAAAAGATGCTCGACAGTCCACCGAGGGGTATCCCGCGATGGTAGATTTGTCGGTGGGGGTGCGCGTAATCAGGAACCGGATGGTGACACAAGGCGCAGAGACAGCGATTTAGACAGGTTCGGGCCGTCTGATCGACGTAATACCCTACGTCCTGTGTCTTTGATGTATTGTATTGAGATGTAGTCGATGTCCACTAGGAGACCCCTGCCTCTCCTTATATACTCTGGAGGGGTAGGGTTACAAGGAAAGTATCCTATTTGGTACTATACAATATCTTGAAGTGCACGTTGAGCAACGCCGTGTACACCTTGATCTTGTGGGTTGGACCACCTCTGATGGTGCGACCCATGTCTTGTCTCGTGGATACCGGGGGCCATACCCCCACACCGAGTCAAAATATTATTCACCCATCTCTTATGATGATGGGTAATGTTCTCTTCATTTGAAAAGACTTCCATAAATGCATGTTTTGGTTTTGAAGAATGTCAACATAATGCACACATAACACTTTTGGTGTTAGTGTAATTTTGTAGGATTTAGGTGTGACCTGTTTATTTTTACAAAAAAATCCTACAATGTACAATACTAGAATATCCTTGGCAGGTGCAGCCCATATATGCCAATAAGTCCCCCTTTAGAATGTAGGAACTTTTCATGTTTTCTACATTTTTCATGTAATAAATTCCTGCATTTCAATGTGGCCTAAAGGATACCATACCGCGCAGAATAAAAGGGCTATGACCGCATAGAATATTCATCATTTGAATTTAATCATATTTATTACAACCCAATTTTACACTTAGAGGGATACCTTTTTCTATTATAAAATCAAGTGTTACCGTGTATGAACAATTTAAGCTGGGTTTACGTGTTACAAATTAAATGGGTTGACACCTTAATACAAGTAGCTTTAGTGTTTTGTCTTTTTTTTTTCTTGTGCTAGATGTAGACAAATACACAATCTTGAGCCACTCAACTCACCCAAGACCTAACCTAACCAGACCTTAGCAGTGCACCGGCAGACTCGGGTTATGTTTTTGACCCACAACTATTGGACCTAGCTTCAGCCATTTGAAGTAAAATCCGACCCAACCTAAAAGGCGCAATCCAATGTAGGAAAACCCAACTAACCCAAAAAAAAAATACCAACCCCCTAAAACGTCTTCCAGTTGAGCTCAGAATAGAAAGAATAATTTGCCTTTTTTTTAACTTGACCTAATTTGGTCATGTAAAATGCCATTCAAGGTCTAAATCATCATAATCAACATGAACACCGCAATCTAGAATGAAATTGGCCGTACACCACATACAGTAAGCATGTACGTGCTGATGAAGGATATTTAGTTTTCGGATGGCTCAAACTTACAATGATATATAGGAACTCAAATCCAAATTTTAGTTATGAGGTTAGAGGCCTAGACAACACACAATGCATTTCACTCTCTACGAGCCATGCATAGGCCATATCCAGCCATGGATTGTTTTGCCGAAGACTAGATCTAAACGTGTTCAGCATATATCATGCTCCAAGTTGGACTGTTGGAAGCTCAGAAATCAAAATGGACGGTTGCTGCCTTGTGCCATAAGTACTTTGGGTAAATTCGATCGGTTGGTGAAGTAGTCGTAGCAACTCTGAAGATTGTGACATTGTTTAAATCAAGGGGATAAAGTTTTGAGGTGTCATATGGGATGTCGAATGGGATGTTCGGATACTAATAAAAAGATAAATTACAGAATCTGTCAGTAATACGCGAGACGAATTTATTAAGTCTAATTAATTCGTCATTAGCACATGTGTTACTTTAGCACCACGTTGTCAAATCATGGACTAATTAGGCTTAAAAGATTTATCTCGTAAATTAATCGTAAACTGTACAATTAATTATTTTTTAGTTTATATTTAATAATCTATACATGTGTCAAACGTTGGATGAGATGGTGATTAAACTTTAAAGAGGACAAGGCCTGACTGGACAAGGCCTGACTGACCGAGCGTCCTTTTTTGTTTTCACCACCACCGGAGTCCGGAGTCTGGTGCCCTGGTGGGCGTGGCCTCGTGGGACAAGAAAAGTACCTTTCGGAGGCCACATGCTGCAGCAATGCAGAGACCGTTGATACGGCCATACGGGAATGCAGCCGGCCGGCGAGCAGAGAAAAAGTGTCCTGACACTGACAGCCCAGAAAGAAAGAGGGCAGGCTCTGGCTCTGGCTGATATGGTCGGTTTTGACCTTTGACAGAGAAGAAAGATGCCTGCTCTCCGCAGTCTGCTGTGTTCTTCTACCCCGCGCACACCCCCCTGCTCTCCGCAGTCTGCTGTGTTCTTCTACCCCGCACCCCCCAACCCCAAAAAGATCCTAACCGCCAAAACCAAAACGGTAGAAGAAAGAGCAATTTTAAAAACAAGGGAGGGAAAAAGGGTTAGTTGTGTTCTGCAGAGGTTTGAATCCAAGGGCCTCGCCGCATCTTGTTATTGTCTATTCCTTATTTAGCTTCACAAGATGATGAAATTCTTTATTTAGCACCGAAAGATAAAAGTTCCCCAATACAGCATTGGCTTTATTTTTGGTTCCATAAATAGCACTACCGTTAGATATGATCTCTAACGCCGTTAACTTGGTGAGAAAAAGACCGTTTTGCCCCTCTCTTTTCATGTGTAACACCAACACATTGCTGCGATTTTCTTAACAGGTTTTTAACAATGCCCTTTTTTGACGTTAAACATACTTTGCCAGTATAATATTTTAAGTTGAACAACTTTTTGCAGTACTGTTTCTTTGCATAGATTATTTATGAAATATGACGGCACAAATTTTTGGAGAACGTGCTACACATGAAAAACAAGGGCAAAATGGTCTTTTTCTCTCCAAGTTAACGATGTTAGGTGTCAGATCTAACGACAGTATTACTTAGGGAACCAAAATTAAAACCAATGCTATATCGGGGAACTTTTATCTTTCAATGCTAAATAAGGAATTGCATAATATTTTGATGCTAAATAAGGAATTTTCTCGCCGATGAATGTACAGAGACAAACAAAGGAAGTGGTCGAGTCTCCCCAGTATTATTTAGGACTAGGACAATATCAAGTACTACAGCATTAGTACATAGAAGAGACAAACAAGAGGTAATGCCCTGTTCGCTTGGCTGATAAGCCATGGCTGAAAGTACTGTTATCTAATTTGTTGTGAGAGAAAAATATTATTCGTTGGTTGAAAAAGTACAGCTTATAAACCAAGCGAACAGGGACTGTTGGCTGTTGCTGTTGATGGAACAAAGTTGGCAGCAGAAGAGGGCGGATTTGTGATTGTTTCAGAAGTAGTACAGCATTAGTGTTTTCTTGGTTACCGCCTATAGTGTGCTATGGACAAACCATTTGGCAGGTAACTACTCTAAAATTTAGCATCTCCCATAATTAATTTGTCGAATCAAACCAAGTTGAACTGGTTTCTTTTTTAAAGGAAAAAAAGAACAGACCAAGTAAACGACAGGCGTTCCACTCTACTCGTACACTGTACTGTACCACCAGTTCACCACCCTTCTCCACTGTTATATCCACTAAAGAAGCAAAGCGAAGGTGGAAGTGATGAAGCGAGCTCGCTGAGCTCACACTCCTTTGTGCGCGGGCCGTTGCGCTCCATTTGGAATCCCAGCTGAGCTCCCCACATTGACCGCCTCCGTACCAGCGACAGCCTTTCCTTCAATCATCCACTGCCAACTCAAAATTTCTTGTGGAGGCCCCCATCACTCGATTCATTCATCCTACCACTTTGCATTGCAACTCCTGTTGTAGCTTCTCCTACCTTTCTCCCTCCGGCTCACCGCCACTATGCTCACCGAGCCAGCCGTTGCTCTCGCCGCACTAAACTCTCCGCCATAGCCATCGCCCGTTTGGAAGAACCATCGTGTAACTTCTGACAGGGTTTAATTGACGCTAGTTTCTTAGCTTAGCTTAGTGATCCGCTGCTACAGTCCCACTCGATGGTGGCTAGTATGAGCCAAGAACTACGGGGGAGGTCGGCGGCCGCGATGGCGGGTGATCACGCGCTGCCATTGGCGTCATCAGCGCCGTCCTGGTCTGTCTCGACGCACCCCGCCGCCGCCGCCGCTGCCATCTACTACCTCGGCCTTTCTTTCGCTCTGGCGCAGGGGAGAGCTGCCGGCGTGTTCGATCTTGGTGGCGCGAGGCGGCTGGGGTGCCGGTGGTCGCGCGCCGTGGAGCTCGCGCTGCGGGAGAAGGTCGCCGCGCTGGAGCGCCAGATCGAGGAGCTCCGTCACCGGCGGACCGAGGACGCCAGGGCCAACGAGAAGGTGGCGGGGATCTTCGCGTCCCACGAGCAGCGGTGGTTCGCGGAGCGCAAGTCCCTGCGCCGGCAGGTGCACGCCGTCGTGGCCGCGGCGCGCGCGCGCGAGGCCAAGCGCGAGGAGGAGGTCGCGGAGCTCAGGCGCCAGCTGGAGGAGCAGCGGGACACGGTGGCGCTCAGGGACAGGGCCCTGGAGCAGGAGGTCCATAGGCGGCAGGGCGCGGAGGAGCGGGTACGTGCCGCGGAGCGCGCGGCGGAGGAGCTGCGGGAGCGCGCCGGCAGGGAGGCGCTGGAGCACGCGGCCGAGGTGCGCAAGCACAAGGCGGCGTTCGTGGAGCTCGCGTCCGCGCAGCGGCAGCTGGAGGCGGACCTGGCCCGCGCCACGCGCCTCGCGGACACGGCCGAGGCCGAGCTCCGCGCCGCGCTGGAGCTCCGCGACGAGGCGGCCGCCACGGCCGCCGAACTCTCCGCCGAGGCCGCGCGCCTGCGCCGGGACGCGGACCACAAGGACAAGATCCTCTCCGCGATGCTGCGCAAGTCCAAGATCGACATGGAGGACAGGGAGATGCTGGTAAGGGAGGTCAAGATGTGCAAGGCCCGGCGGAAGCAGGCGGAGCTGGAGCCCGAGCGCTGGCGCAAGATGTGGGAGTCCCGTGGCCACCGCCGGGGCTCTTCCAGGTCGTCGGCGCGGGGCGCGGCTGCCGACCTGCCGGCCGGGAGCTCCGACAAGCTGCTGGCCCACGACACCGTGGCGCGAGCCACCAATGACACCACCAAGATACTGTTCGTGGACCACGTCGAGGGCGACGGCAAGAAGGACCACCGGCAGGCGCCGGCGAAGGAGCTGACCACCATTGAATGTGTCGACCGCTATGCCAGCCACGTCGACGACAAGCCCGGTATGTCCACCTGTTCTGTCTTCTTGTACTCTGCTAGCTCCTGCTCTGCTCACAAAACTGTACTACTAATCTGGTCACCATATGCTTCCAGGATTCAGTCGATAGAAAAAGTTTGTTTTTATTGCGTTGCGTTCTAACAAGTCTTGTTTGAGTACAAAATACAGCGCAACTGTCTTTCAAAAATGCAAACTAGTCAGTCATTAGAATTTAGAAATGGTGAACATTAAAACAGCAGTGTTTCAGAGTTGTGACTACCAGGTTGTGCTTCTTTCTTTGTACACGTGATGCAGCTGTGGAGGAATACCAAGGCCTGCAGGAGTGGTTCCAGATGGAGACGGAGAAGTACCGGCACACGGCGGAGATCGAGGCGTTCACGGAGCAGCTCCGGCTCAAGGACGAGAAGCTGGAGGCGTTCCGGTGGCGGGCGGTGAGCATGGACGTCGAGGCGACGCGTCTCCGGAGCCGGATCCAGGAGCTGGAAGGGCGTCTCGCGCGGCACGAAAAGCACAGCGCCGGTCTGGAGGTCCTGCTCCTGGACAGGGCGAACGAGAACAGAGCACTCGAGGAGCAGCTAGAGACGCTCCAAGCGCAGGCGCCTGGTGTGGAGATCTGCACGCCGGCCGGTGGCCAAGACGACGGCCCCGACGACCAGTGCATCCCTTGTTCGCCCGTGAAGGTCGTCCAGAGAACAATGTCATCTGGAAGCTCGCGGCATCAAGAGGGCACCGAGGTCAGCACATATCATCGTGCAGAGGCGAAGCTGGACGAGCCAGTCTGTGTCTCCCCAGAAGATCACAAGGAGGATTGGAAGGAGCTGGATGTGCATGCGGCAGAGGCTCTTGTCGTCTCGGTCGGGGATCTCGCGTGCGCCGCGGCGGTGGCAACGTCCATGGAACACGAGCGACATGATAATGCCCCGGCGACGGCGAGCCGGCGGTCTTTCAGGTCTGAGATCGAGGAGGAGAAGGAGGTCTACACCGATCCGGGGAATGCGCAGACGACAGGTAGTAGCTCCCAAGAGCAAGAGGCGACGTCTGAGCTCGCGCTCGTTGTCTTGCCGCCTGGCCAGAAGAGCTCCGCTTGGAAGACAGACATCCACGCTCTGGCGGTGTCGTACAAGATCAAGAGGCTGAAGCAGCAGCTGCTGGTGCTGGAGAAGCTGGCCAACGAATGCAAGGAAGAGGCCGCGGCGACGAAGCCGTCAGGGAGTGAAGCCAGTTGCAGCAGCAGCAGCAGGCAGCAGCCGAGGTCGAGGTACCACACGATGATGTCGTTCCTGAGCAAGCACGTCAAGCGGTACCAGTCCCTCGACGACAAGATCGACGACCTCTGCGCAAGAATGGTACGGGGAGAAGACGCGGATCCCCATTCCATCATCAGGAATATGTTTTGGCATTCCGGGATCATGCGCTGATGTCTGTCTGTCTCATGCCATGCAGGAGGAGAGCAAGAGGAGCGCGGGGCGGGAACGGCACGGCGCGGGGGAGCAGAGCCAGAGCCAGAGCGCGGCGCTGGGGCAATTCCTGGAGGAGACGTTCCAGCTGCAGCGGTTCATGGTGGCCACGGGGCAGAAGCTGCTGGAGACGCAGTCCAGGATCGCGCCGGGCCTCGCGCGCGACCGCTCCATTGGCGGCAGCGGCGGCGATGAAGACGGCGTGGACATGAAGAGGCTGATGGAGGTGGCCGGGGCGCTGCTGAGGGACGTGCAGCGAGGGCTGGAGGTGCGGATCGCGCGGATCATCGGGGACCTCGAGGGCACGCTCACCTTCCACGGCATCCTCCGCACCACGCGCTGATATATATAGATATATATACCCGATGCTGTCCTCTGTATTTCTGACTTGCTTCAACAAATGGCAGCAGCACGTTGATCTTCGAGATACAGTAAACGCCAATATTTAGTAGCAGTAATCAGATATACCGTACTACTCTTTTTTGGCCTTCATGCTAATTCTCTGAGAGATGGCTAAACAAATAGTGTGCACACAAAAGAGCAAAACATCTAATCATCGATTTTGTATATCCACCGTCCACCGAACCTGATTTGCTTCTAACCCAAGTACATCGTCTACTTGTAAATTTACTCACATCGTCTACTTGTAAATTTACTCGCTTCCATTACTATATGACACAAAAAGAAAAACACTCAAAATATTTTTTTTATAAGAAACTTCACTAAAGTTTAGGAACATCTTATAGGAGCTCATGGAAAATAGCCTGTCTAACATGACAATGATGAAGAACATGAGATATACGAGTACAAAAGAAACCACGGGTGCTCAACAAAAAAGCACCACCCAATGGCAGGAAAAAAATGGTATGCGCTCTTGCCACACTCAGACTCCCGTGTAGCACCGCTTCCTGGCCGTCCACGTATCCTTCCCACGTGTGCTGGTTCGGCTGGATCATAGGCGGAACTGGCGATTTTAATTAAGGGGGCTAGACAAATATGGTCGTATTTTTTAGAGTGATAAAATATACATAATTATATGTTTCAATGATTTTTCAGAAAAATTACACTATTTATAACCAAAATCATAATATTTTCAAAAAAAAAGGTGAAATTGATATTTTTTGTGCTATAAATAAATATTTATATAGATATATTAAAAAAATCTACCTTGTTTAGTCGCATGTGACCTCGCCGTCGGCGAGTTCTCGTCGATCAAAGCCGGCCCCTGCCTCTGTCTCTCTGTCGTGTGGGGTCAATTGACCCGCGGGGCCCAGTCGTCAACGCCTCTTTGGTGTATACGCCGGGTGCACCTAGCATTTAGGGCTTAATTGTTTTTGAATTATTTTCACAGATTTGAAAATAAATTTCAAAAAATCATATCTGGAGCTAGGAGTGTCCAAATGAGCTAAATTAAATTTTGTTAGATTCATCATGAAGTGTATTATTTGATAAAAATATGAAATCTACTACTTAGGATATTTTTCTGGTAGAATTAAATTGAGCAAGATAAGTGCTTCTAAATGTGTTTATATCTTGTAAATTGCATAACTTGAGCTAGAAAGATGATAAAATTGTGATTCCAATTTTACTGGTCTTGTGTTGACATGCTCTGGCTAGTAAAAATATTAACCTACAGTAAGTATATTTGAAATATGGTCTTCCTATTTAATCTTAATTAATTGCTAGTTTCTAATGAAATTAATTGGGGTAAGAATACATAACATATGATCATGCAAATTTTTACACAGTATTCTTCTGCTACGAGGAAAGTAAAAAATATTAAATCTATTGTTTGACACTTTTCATTAGGCTAAACTATTTTTTGCTAAAATAAGCCTATATAACTTATCATTTTAGTAGAGATGGCTCTATTTATTTAAATGGCATGAAATTTATACAGTAGACTATTAGGGTCATATGTAGGCTACTATGATTTTCTTAGAATTTATTGAGTATTGGAAATATTTATCCTTTAAATCACCTTGATATATAAAGAAATTAATAAATGAAAATACATAAATTAGTTGGGCTTAACCATGATATTTTCTATGGTTTTTGTGATGCATATAGCCTATTGATGTTATCATATAGGCTTAGGAATAATTGGTTGTAGACAACTAGCTAATTATTTTTTTATAATTCTCTTAGATGGCTGCATATGTAGTTTCTATCGTGGTAATAATTTTATGATGATAATGACCTTTTCTGTGAAAATTGTTAATAACAAAGTTGTAGATAACTTACTCATCTACCCTGTGTTAAAGTTTCAAAGTCATACGCCTTATGGTTTAAGAATTATAGCTGTTAGAAGTATGCTATCAGAAATACTTGCTCTCTAGACAGATCGTAAAGATTGAATTGTTTGACCTAGATAACTGCTGAATAACTATTATATGATTAAAAGAAAGTTGTAGGAAATTTTATAAGCTTTGTAGAAAGTCTACAACCATATTATTTAGGTGTGTATAACTCTAGTTATGGTCAAAACAATTGGCTATTATCTTGTAGTATAGAAAAATTCTTAGATCAGAATTTATTTAGTTACTAGACAAGAGATATGCACCTACTCAGTAAAATAAGATATAACTTGTTATCACCTTAATACAATGCTGTTCAAAACACCTATGAGAATGCATTTCATCATTCCTCACCATATCATACATGTCATTATATATGCATCCATGATATCTTATTTTATGATCTTGCATATAGGATCGTATCATTGTTGGACGCTTCTGACAAGATTGAACGCATGCCTCTTACTTAGCTGGACGGATAACTCATTCCGACCATGAAGCCGAGTAGCTCAACTTAGGTCGGGCCTCGTTCTGTAAAAGTGCGTACTCTGGATGGTAGTAAGGATGTGCGGGGAGCCAGACGTAAGCCCAAGGACAGGCCGGGCCTGAACGTCCTGGCAGCTGATTATCCCTGATTGTATGGCGCTAGAAGAACCCTCGAAATATGGACCTGAGTTATACCAAAGGTGACCATTGATCTATTCTGCCTAGGTTTGTGTTAGAAATAAATTTCCTACTGGTTAAAATCAATTCGAATCGCCGTCTCTCCCAAACAGTGAGAAACTTGGTAGTACCAACATCGTAGTAACTGTATTATGAAATGATGGTTATGATGAACATGAAATTATTATACTGGCTATGGTTACTATTATTATGCTACTAAATGATATACCACATGTTGGGCATAGGTTAGTTGCTAATCAAGAGATAAATAGATATAATTAACTCGATGACCGAATTATAAAATGTATAGCTAAATAAGCGGCCTTTTATGCAAAATATTGTCAATCTAGCTCCACTTATAAAGCCTTGTATAATCCTTGAAGTCACTTTATTTTTGGTTTATGATGGGTAAGTCTAGCTGAGTACCTTCTCGTACTCAGGGTTTTATTCCCATTGTTGTAGATGATACCGTTTATAATGACTATTGCAAGAACTACTTCTGTCTCACCATGGACGAGGAGTAAGCCCTAGGCATGCATCTATTATTAATCCCTCTCTTATGCTTTTATGGAAGTGTGATCGTGAGCTGACACTATATTTAAACAATGTTGCAGATGTTGGTTTCAAACTTTTAATTTGCTTTCGCTACTATCTTACCTGAACGTAGTTTGTAATAACTTAATTCATACTCTGATGGATGAACTGTATTTATGAACTTTATGTAACGTGTGACGTGTATGTTGTATCATGTACGATCTTAGTTGTATGTTGGTTGAATCAAGACCCTTCGCGGTACTCGACAGACTACCGGGTTTATATGGGCTCAAGTATGACAGTGCGACCGCTTGCGGGCTGTCATTGTACTTGTGCTCTTATAAATTGGTCGGTTCTGCTATACTTATTAGGTCTGTAAAACCCCCACATTGATGTTAAGATAATATAATATTTAAAGTCATTACATGATACACTTAAGATAGAAGATGTAACACCTCGGGTGTTAGCCTTGCATAACTTGACTTGCATAACATGAGCATGATCATCACGCATTCATAAACAAGCATTTACAATTGGAACATTGAATTGAAACATATGCAACGTTGCTTGTTATTGCATGTTTCTTTGTACATATGCAAATGATCATGAATGTAAACATGTACTTGGTAGATTTGAGTCACCAAAATATTTTGGCAATGCTTAGGTTCACAAATGGAACATGGATCATGAATGTCATTTTCCATGGTCAAGTCTTTAAGGCATATTTCATGTGATTACTTTAAATAGCTCTATGAGTAACTACTACATGAAATGATTAAGTAACCTTGCAAATTGCTTAAACATGTTTAGAGTACCATTATGAACAACTTTGATATTCATGGCTAGGGCTAAATAGATCACTAAGTCATAGTTCTTGTTCAAGTCATCATTTGAATGTAGCATGTTTGACTAAAGTTGAACTAGATTTTAGAGACCTTGCATGGAGGAGATCACTAAAGCAAAGTTGTAGTGTTTGACATAAGGAACAACTTTTATTTTTGAGTCATTGACTGATTTAGCTTCTAACATGCTTGAATTTGAATTACAAAATTCATCAAATCACTGATTTCAACACTTATCGAAATTTTGCTAAGTCCTATTAACTGACAGTGTTGTGACAACCACATTTGAGATGATTTTTCTCCTTAACCGTTGGGAATTTGGTCTTGATCGTTTAATATGGATTTAAGCTGGTACATTAGGCTTCAACTTTGATGTAGATTGTGTGTGCTAATTCGTCACGGATACAAAGATTGAGCCTCACGAAAACCGGCTGTCAGGCGTCCATTGCAGTGTCTGAATCGGCTGATCGGACGGCGTCAGTGGCCGACCGCCTTCAGGACATGGCCGCCGCGTGGAGGAGAAGAGGCCGTGTGTCGCCTCTGCTCTGCCCAGCCAGGCCACGTCGGGCCAGGGCATGCCTTCAACACCCTCGCGCTCGCCCGCATCGCCCCTGCGCTGCCCATTTCGCTTTTCTGGCTTCTCCTTCACCACAGCGCAGCCTCCGAGCACCTGCCACGCCATTGCCGTCGCAGCTGCTCCGCCGAGATCACCAGCGCTCACCGCCGTTCCATTCGCCAATCAGTCGTGCTCGTAGCTCCGTCTCCACCTTCCCCACCGTTTCCACCTTGCAGCGCCCACGATTTCGCCTTTGGTAAGCCGCGTTCAGCGTTGCGCCGTCGCGGGTTTGCCTTCGCCGGAGCTCCGCCATGGCCGCTGCCGTGGCCGTGCTTCGTCGGCGCAGCTCTAGCCGTCTTGGTCGCGTAGCCATCGTCGTAGAGTCTCCATAGTCCTGTAGAGTGCGTCACTTGACTTCGCCGTGGCCTCCACCGGCGTAGCGCCGTCGTCC